ATTTGGGACGTAAACAGGTTGTCGACGATGAATACGGCCGCCAAAGGCTTTCCCAAGGATCTCCACGCTTTCTCAGACCCAGCATATCGACTGGAACACAGCGTGTCAGTGTCGAGCGTTAAATTCTTTGAAGATAACCCAAAGACGCTGGTGGTCGGTATCAAAGCCCAAGGTCTACACATCCATGACCTGCGAGGTAAATAGCAACCGCACAATTTGTCGGAAGAAACCTGCTAATTTAATCTGACTGCAGAACCTGGCGCTGTTGTGACCTTTCAGACCAAGTGTAACAACAACCTGGCCATCGATTACGCTGACCAGAACTACTTCGCATCATCCGCACTGGATCAACCTGGCATCATGATTTGGGATAGACGAGCAACGTCTCGTCCAGTTGCCTCGCCATCTTATCTGGGCGCCGTTGACGAGGACGACCTTCCGTGGGGTGGAGCCTTGAGACTCGACAGAGTGGTTGAGATGGATGACGATTCCTCATTGAGCGAAAGCAAGCACTCCATCGTCCGTTCATTGCGCTACTGTCGAGACCGACGGGGTCTCCTGGCTGTGCTGTCTCGATCCGGCCAGCTCAAGGTCTTGGAGACGAACAAGGAGATAACGCATCGCGACATGGCCCTTGAAGGTAGCCCAGAGCTTCTCGAGGTCCACAAATCCCACGACATGGATGTTCAATACGGCGATAGCGGCAGGAAGAATGACAGAATTGTCTCTTTTGACTGGGTGACGCTCGACTCTTCGGTCCTGCAGCCTCGTCTCCTCGTCTTGCGGGCCAATGGGTCCTTTGAGATCCTCGAACAACCGTCGTATACCTCTGATTATCTGTATAAGCTGACACCTTGGCAACCACCACATCGTGGACTAGAAGGTACGTGTGCCAGACTGTTTAGAGAGATAAAGACCGCTCACACCATACAGAAGGAGGACCTTACCACGAGATTATGGAATTCGAGCCGTCCCAGTCTTCTGACATGCTCGGTCCCTTGTTTGTTGAGGAAGCACTGTCCGACATTCCTATTTTTGGCCCCGACAAGGCCGATGTTCAGACTATCGTGGATCAGACATTGCAGTCACAGTTCTCTGCAGCAGATCTCAACAGTAGGTTGACGGGCAATGATGCCAGCTCCTCGTCGCCCATCGATAAGTCCAAGTCTACTGCAGAAAAGATGCGAGCTCTGAGAACGGAACTTAAGGAGAAGGCAAGGAAAGCAGATGCGAATGGCGGCGAGAGCTCCATCATGGAAGAATCAGTCAGCTCGCTCGCCCAGTTATCACTATCTACCGATGGGCCGGTCTCGTGTCGTCACATGCATGAATCTCTTCTTTCGCTGCCCCTGAAGGCTCAGGACTTGTCGACGAAGGCACAGTGTCTCCTAGACCACGTCATGCTTCTTCGTGCGAAGGAGAAGTACCTTTTCGATTGCAATGTCAATCGTGTCGTGGTAGCCGATGATCCGTGGTTGCGGTATATGTGGGATTGGATTTCAGGTGAGCAGGACGAACGCACCAGGGTTATTGTTGCTAATCCTGAGCAGACGCCGAAGATGCTGCAGCGGATGGAGGCATGAAGTTGTCGCCGCTCGACCTTAGTTATATGGGCGTCTGTACCATCTGGTGTGATGATTTGGGTCCGTAAAGAGTCCGCTGCTATCACCAGATCCGTGACTAACATGTAGCAGGCCGGAAGCCATCATCCAGACTTCCAGAGGCATCTCCGATCCCCGAAACGACGTTGTGGGAGAAGTGTATTGGAAGCATTTGTAAGAAGCGGCGACTACCAAAGTACGAAGGCATCCACACCAAGAAGCCTTTCCACAGACAGCTGTGTCTAGATATCTGCGAATGGGGGGATACGGCGGCACATGAAGCCAGGGGAGCAGCGACGCACGATCCCAGCCAAGACTATCCGACAACGGCACACACGATGGCAGCAGCTCGGGCTCTCTTCAAGGGCAACACGCAGGAGGCGATTGGAATTCTGAAGACGGCGAGCGTAACACACCCAGAGTTGTTATTTGTCTCTCTCGCCCTGCAACTCATCGGAAAGAGCAATCATCACCTTAACAAGGAGCAGCTTGATTTCGACGAGGCCGTGGCATCGAAAACGGACCCCTATCTAAGGGCAATCTCGTCACTAATTGCCACGGGAGACTGGTTCGCCATTGCAAACCAAAAGTCCCTGCCCCTGTCAGACCGGGCCTACGTTGCAGTGCGGAACTTTAGCGACGAGCAACTCACCAAGTGGCTCAACGAACAGGTCTCAATGGCTGTGAGTACGGGAGATATTGAGGGCATTGTTCTCACGGGCATAACGGACAGGCTGGTGGACATTTTCGCCAAATACGTTGAGAAGTTCAACGACTTCCAGACGGCGACGCTAGTCATGTCGATATGTGCGCCACGTTACATTGACGACTACCGTTGCCTGGCTTGGAGGAATGCGTACAGGACATATCTACAGCGGCACAAGGCCTTCCTCCAGAGGACCAAGTTCGAGGTGGAGAGCACGAAGAAGAGCAAGCGTGGTGGGCGCCCAACGATCAAGCCGCCCTCGCGCCAGATTGCGCTCCGGTGCGTGTACTGCGACGCGGAGACGACTCTCGCTGGACAGGGAGGAGTCGGGTCGGGACCGCCGCCTGGGGCGCCTGATTCACGTAACCCCCTTATGGCGACGAGCATAAATGCGGGAATCAGCTGTCCCAACTGCGGTCGGCATCTGCCGCGGTGTGTTGTGTGTCTTGAGGTGGTGGGCGTTCCGAGGTCTGACCGACCGGAGCACAACGGTGAGCCGGAGAGGTGGATGGCAGCCAACTTCCCAACGTTTTGCTTGAAATGCGAACACGTTCTGCATCTGGACCATGCGAGGCAGTGGTTCACGAGGCACGTTGAGTGTCCGGTACCCGAGTGCCGTTGTCGATGCAATTTCAGGGCGAACCCAGAGCTGAACTACCACTGATTACTTATGAGCGGGCAGCCTGGTTGGTGAGATGGAGTCGGGATCAGGATTTGGTACACAGGATGCGGCGGATTGGAAGGAGGCAAGGGGAGGAGAGGAGAGGAGAAGAGAGGGCGCATCATGAACAAGGGCCCCGACTGCAAGCATGACTGCTGACGGGCGACGGGCGGCCGACGACGATGTGCCCCGTGTTTTGCTGGGGTTGTTTCTTATTATGTCCCGTCGGGTGGTTGTGACGGAATACTTATGACATGATTATGTATCTGCATTCATGGACTCTTGCAGATGGATTCTGGACTCTTTGACATTCTGCAACGGGTGCGGAAAGGGTGTTGCGGAGATTTGACCAGGCCCTGGTCAGCAGCATGCGTTGCCGCATAGCCTTCCTTCAACGGTGCGTGCGAGCGTGTGTGTAGTCCGCAAGGGAGTGTGTGCGTGTGTGTGAGAAAAAGAATGTGTAGGTACACATCGAGTACTCCCGCAGCCCCTTTCCGTGCAATCACAGCCACAGACGATACCAATAGCGACACGATATTGGCGCTGGATTGCCTTGTACGGATTCGAATGCAGAATTGGGCTGGGACTCGGTGAGGCCTGGACTTGTCACATTCGGCGCCCGTGCTGCAGGTTGATCGATCACCTGCGCATCTTCCAGGTTGCGGGGACTTTGACCGGTCGGTGGAATACTACGTTGGGATTCCCGGGTGATGCCCATTGCAGTGTCCCGGTCAGCGGCCTGTCCACACCCTGTTTTGATGATGTGTGATGTGTGTAGGTACTCCGTAATGTGTGTCGTCTGCCTGACACGCTCGTCGATTCTCTTGACAACCCACAAGTGCGTGGTGCGTGAGGTGGTGCGTGGCAGGCAGGCATCCGTCGCCCCAAGCCTACCTACCCAAGCCCTGAGCAGCCGCCGCCCATGGTTCCGTATCCAGTCACCCAGTATCCGCAGACCGGACTCGACAATGGTGTCGGGTGTAAAAGTGAGATGTGACCTGCCCCGAACGCGGGCTGGCAGGGGCGGAACCGGGAGAAGAGTGCCTGAGCAGTAGTGCGGTGGAGGGATGGATGGATGGATATCATTGAGGATCGTCACTTGTGAGGGTGTTCGGATGCCATGAGGTGCTGAAGGATGTGGGCCCCACTTACCTAAGGCAACCTAGGTGGTTGTATTTCGCACCCGTGAGGTAAGCTAGGGAGGACTGGCGTAAGGTGTCCAATGGCGTAGCTTCGCTAGGAAAGGTACTTGATTATCCGTACGATACCAAGGTAATCACGGTGCACCGAGAGTCCCCTTCCCAGGCACTCTAACCAGGTAAGGGTGGTAAGCAGGAGCGTGTAGGTATTCCCAATGTATTCCCAGGGCACTTTGGTCTGAGTAGGTAGGTAGGCTCTTTCCAGGTTTGGCCCTGCCTGCCCTACCCTGCCTGCCCCGAGTGCCCTGCCCTGGCCCAGTGGTCCCTTCCTTCCCAGCCCGTGGCAGGTCACTCTTGCCGTCCCATTTGCCTCGGCAGGGTGACTGCGTTGGTTTGGGGGAACACAAAGCGCACGGGGAACTGGTCCGGGCTCTTTACGCACTCTTAGTTGAACGACATCTTCAACCAACCGCCACCACGTCTTCTCCCGCACACATCCCACACACACGCATACGGAAACTCATTCACACGCAAACACTCTCAGACGTACGCACACCCAACCTCTCCTACTCCTCTTACTCCTCCATCACATCCTGTCCCAATTTACCGAGACCTGGACCAGACACCGAACATCCATGACTCCATACGGATACTGACCTGCCCACAGCCACAGAACCCTGCCCGGTTCTGCCTCACGCCTCACGGTCCTCACCTTATCCTGGAACCAACAAGCACCACGCACACGTACACACACACACACACGAGACACACGACGACAAACACTATACGCCCGGCCGACCCCATCGTTGCTTACCCGTTTTCTATCCCCATTTGGTCGGTCCTCTTCCAGGGATACAACTTGCGACGCTCCGCTTTGCTCTTTAGTCTCCAACATGTCATTGGAAGTAATCTACATCACCCGCCATGGAGTAAGTATCCGTTTCCCCCTGCCCGTTTCTGTCCAGTCTCCTTTCGTATCCGGCTTCATCTTCGAGACCAACGTTCCAACGAGAACGAGAATGGCTGAGAAGATGAGGGCTTGGGGAAAAGTTTCACTCATGAAACCTTCTTCAACCTATTCATCGCCAAACCCACACACCCTGGTACTTGATAAAGATCCGCGGGCAATTCTCTTGAATTTGTCAGTTGATGCTGGCCCTGCTGGTTTTGAGCAAGAGACTTAATTCTGACAACGGCCTTGGCGTTCTTCAGTTCCGGTCAAACTGGCTTGTCGACCCTGCCACGGGAAGCTACACGGCCTCCATCCCGTCACCGACAGGTATACCTGCGGATCCGGAATTGACTGCCCATGGCGTCGACCAGGCCAAGGAGCTGGGCGCCCACCTCCTGACCGTTGAGCCTCCAATCGACGCAGTTTATTCCAGCCCCTACTATCGCTGTCTGCAAACTATCACGCCCTTTGTTACTCTCAACCAGGAAAACCTCAACCGCCTTCGGGAAAAAGACGTTGGCGCTAAAGCCGATGCTGTCACCATTCGTCCCGAACACGGCCTCTGCGAATGGTATGGCGCCGCTCCATTCGAGCACCCGACTCCAGCCTCGAAAGACGTCTTGAAGCCAATGTTCCCTCACATCGATGACACGTATCAAAGCCGCGTCTATCCCGCCCGCAACGGTGAGACTATCGCTCAATTGCACGACCGTGTCGCTGCTGGTGTTCAAGCCATCATTGAGCAATGCGACGCCCAGGGCCACCGTGCAGTTATTCTGTGCTCCCACGCTGCCTCGATTATTGCTCTTGGCCGAGTCCTTACTGGCGAAATGCCCGAGAGTATTGATGCGGAAGATTTCCGAGCCTTTACCTGTGGATTAAGCATGTACCGGAGAAAATCACCCTCTTCTTCAGCAAAAACTCCAGGAACCGATGGTAGGATTCGAACCCCTACGTCATCATCAGGCTATTGGGGCTCACGGTTGACAATGGAACCAACAGGCCCAATCGCGGATACCAAGTCGTGGAGGAATGGTCGGGGAGTCGCAGGCGGGTGGATATGTGAGCTCAACAGCGATTGCAGCTTTCTGAGCGGAGGAGAAGAGAGGGGATGGTAAGTACTCAGATGGACTTCCCGCTCCAACCCGCACTCTCGCGCGCCCGCCCTGGCTGAGATCAATCCAATGGGACCTTGGCCGGCCCTCACCCTTGCTTTTGCCCGACACCCACCGAGGGGCCGCCCCTCCCTATCTTTTCTTTTCCCTACTCGTATTCCTCTACCACCGCCCGAGAATCTTCGGATGCTGTCCTCGGAAGTATGCTGACTTGAGAAAACAATCTACAGGCGATTCTCTGGCGACGAGTCCTTTTCCACGGCCGAAAACTCTTCGCAGGCCGACGCTGGAGTGGCGCTCGGCGTGGTGGTGGAAGGAAAAGTGAAACCTGACAAGGTCTCTCCCCACAGAGCTGCAGGTCATCATCGTCTCTAGGAATTGGCTCATTGGCGGCGTGCTTCGTCATTTGCATTGCAGTTTTTCTTCTTTTCATTCTCAGGATTCTACAAAGGACAGTTCCTCGACGGGTCGCTCAGAAGGGTCGAAGGCTGCAACAAAGTTCTAGGTCCTCCAGCCTGACTAAAACCGATCCGCACCATCCGTCCTTGCGGCCGATATACGATGGCAGCTAATGCCGGATAGACTTGCCTAGCTGCTGCGGGATGCATCATCTGCATGTCTCTGGCACGGGCTGGGTGCCATCAAATCTGCGAGCCAGTCAGCGCAGCGGCTAGCCCCGAATCCATGACAGAAAGACCCCTGTCACTTTCATCTTACAGCTGCCACACCATTTCATCGTTCCATCTCTTCAACTTCAACTGCTCACCCATTGCTCTCCATTGAATGCCTTCAGTACACGAATTCGCGCCTGAAATCTCGCCGCAAGCACATGGCTCCTCCTAACCTTCACCGTCTGATCTTTGTCAACCGAGATCGGCTCCTTCAGCTGAAGAAATCCAATTTCGTATCTGAGGCAGCCATTGGTGCTCAATGTCTATCCTGTGTCATGAGCACATGCAAGACGCTTGACGTGCCTGTATCTTGCGTCTCGCCTCGCCTCGCCTCGCCTTGCCTCGCCGCTGCCGTTCACTAACAGGTAATCTGGTTTCGATCCCTTGACATCTTGGCTCCTGAAGGGTTGCGCGGGGTCTACTGGCGAGAGCTCGAATATCGGCTGATTCCTTATCACAGTGCAGCTCAACATCGCGGATCCGTGTCCGCTTCCGTGCCCGCCACCTCCAGGCTACGCAGCCTCGCTCGCTCGCTCATTGCTCGGCCCCTGCTTGGGCCCCGGGAAGTGGATATTTGCATACAGAATAATAGCAATAACGAAATGAGTATCAGATCTGGTACGACGCTTTGCTGAAGAAAACTGACCTTGGCAGACCTTGCCGCAGGCATACCTACAAAGCAATCTCTCTAAATTTGGCACAATTGTTTTTCTGTCACGATACGGTCAAAGGACGGACACGCAACAACATCAAACGCCCGCTTGCCATTGTCAAGCTCAGCTTTTCGGTCGATTTCGAATTACCATTCTCCTACTACGTAGAAGGTTTAGTCTAGCGTCTGCGTGGGGTCCGATCGGTGCCGGATGCATCTTCCGAATCGCTCACCTAGTGTCCTTGCCGAGCCCCTAGCATCATCTTCGGATCTGGCTCGAAGTTGGCCTCCCTAGCGGTGTAGGTTCACACTATTTGACTCAGCTGGTCAACGAGGAGCGTTCCTGTTGAGTCTAGCAAGTACATCGTACACGGGGCGTACTGCCAGTGGCCACGGCAACTCTCAAGTCCTTCACAACACCATCGATTTCGCCAAGCTGCAGTTCTTGAGGAGCTCATGATCATCTCGCATGTGTCAAAAGAGCGGTGGACAAAGGCAGCTTTGCGTCAGCGCGAGATAGGAGGGTCGGATAGGGCTCACCGTCCTTGTGAAGAGCTCGGTCATGGACCAGGCCTCGAGGGTCTATTGCCATGTGTACGACTGGGGATGGCGATATTGTTTAGTCTGCATGTGTCTCTTGCAGGGAAAGGAAAGTACAGCCTTGGTTCGGCTGCAGAAGAGGTGATGATGGAGGGGTGTGTGACGTGCTTGGGAATTGCTGAACTCTCAGGGTGTTACCAAGGCGGCAGACAGTGCTAACCAAGGAGAGGATTCTTAATCGGGCGGCATGCTTCTGTCGATCATGGCCCATAGCCAGCCGCGAGCTTGTCTGTTTCGGAATTTCAATGCGGGTATTGGCTTGACGAGGTTGATGGTCAGGTTCCAAAAGGAAACAGGAGAATAACAACTGCGGTTAGCCACACATCCGCAGGGCGAATAGGTTGACGTGGTATTATTGCCAACAAAACACGCGCTGGGCTGGCAAAACCGTATGCAACGTACAGAAACGGGCAACCCAAAATATTTCGGCCGAATAGCTCCACGGAGCTCCTCTCATTAGCACCAGGGCTGATACGAATACTGGAGAGAATGCGAAGGTTTCGACGGATACACCGGGTACAACGGATAAAGGTTGCTAACACATATTTCGTGGCTTACGTTCCGTTCACAAGGCTTCTTTGCTCGTTCTCCGCAAATGATTTACATACAGGCATTTTGCGTGGGGTAGTACGAATGCTGCCATCAACCGGCAAGCGCATCTTCTAACTTCAGTACCATTCAAAATGAGCCAGCATCATAAGGGGCCTCCTGCAATCATATGTGGCACGTTGGGCGATTTACGGCGCAGAGTAGGAGGCTGTGAGATGAGCAAGCTGCCCGATGCGACGGTTTGCAGAACCAACTCCAACAAGTCAGAAACGTGCCCGCGATTCAAGGTGGTCCAACAAGAATCAAGCAATTACATGGGTTCGAGATGTATTTCTGGAGCACAAAGGGTCTTCTCATTAACGACTCGGCTGGTTCGAGTCGCAAAGTCGTCAGAGCTTTTGAGCGGTAAAAGGCAACTGCAAAGAGAAAAAGGAACGATAGATGCAGCGTGGCGAACCCTCCTGCATTTCACCCTCGACAAGGCATCGTCGCGTGGCTTTAACAAAGGGAGGGAGATCCCTGAATTTGACGGCAAGCTTGAGTTGAGTCTAGTAAAGAGTCCAGACGAGACGAGACAGGCAGGGTAATGAGATACCTCTCTGGCTGTATGGAATAAGAAACCTGGGGTCCGTTGGTTGGCCAGACGGTGATCCGGCCGGCAGCAGGTTCGCAGATGAGTGGGCAGCAGAGCTGCAAGTCAACACAAGAAGACCGTTACGGCATTATGCTTACCATAGACCGAGTCTTGCGGAGAGTCCGGGTGGCAGCGGGTTCTCCACCTAAAGACAAGTGTCTTCGCCAGCCCAGCCGCCATCTGTGGCCATCGAAATCTGCGGCGGCCAGTGGTTTCTTATTCCTACCGACTCGAATCATGGTGAAGATCCAGATTGTTCATTATGGAACATGACTACGTACTTTGGGGGGGGGGGGGGGGCTCTTGACACCATTACACCCCTCCCCCCGGTCAGCGCCAAACTAAGCGTACACAATCCTGCCAGACTGCCAACCTTTCCCGCCTCTTCACCAGACTTTGGCACCCTCGTCGGGCGGGCCCCCGCAAGAGAGTGAGCGGGTTGTACGCAGTAGAGACTCGACACGACGGCGGCCCCACAAACCGTCTTTCCTGACCCTAGAATGCGGCGGTAAGGCGGCTGCAGTCGACGACTACCGCGTGGCCATCCATGGGCGGCCATTTATCGATCCCTCCATCTCATCAGCGGGTACAACTCAGTGTGTGTCTCTCCCAAATCAGAAAGGTATCTCGAGCAACAACCTGAAAGATTACGATGAGCATTTCCTGCGAGATTTGAGGCGGGTATGTGAGTGTGTGTGGGGAGAGGCGGGTGGGTTAGCCAAAAGGACACTCAATTCTGCATCTCAGAATCACACCGACTTTGACTTGACGCCGAGGACTTGCCGTGAAGTGAGCAAGCCATTCTGCAAACACAACACATGGATGGCTGTTCGGTGAGGTAGATGTGGGCGGTATGTCATGGGTATGGGATTGGGGGGATGGCCGTTACAAAACGACAACGACAACGACAATGAGCCATGAACAACAATCAGAGCAAACACTGTTGGACACAGCCTGTCTCCGATTCCAGATGAGAGGGATGGAGGAGCAGAAGGATCATCTATTATTGCAATCATGAGTTCCAAAGTCCCGGGACCATGGACGACAACAGATGGTCCAACCGGTGCACGGCTGCCAAACTTTGGAGTCAGCTTTTGGGGGCCCCGAGTCGATCCAATGGCAGCCTTGTGTTGGTCCAACAGTAAATGGGGATTGAAGTCACACGAAGCAAAGAAGACATGGCATATGCCTGGCGGTTCCCTGTTCACTTCACTCAGTCTTTACCGTCACGACAGTGTAAAGAGCGTGAGTCTGTGAGAAGGTATCCCTACCCGACAGGGGCGGAGCCAGCGAAAAGAGGCACGGACGACGATGGAGTTGTGTTGTGTGCGGGTGTTTTTATCTCCACCTTATACCCACACCTCGAGTGTCCCGATCGAGTATCTAATCGTTCGTTCTTCGTCTCTGCTACGTCCGGAAGACAGTGGAACTCGCGGCTTGGCCCCCGAGCGACTACCACCTCACGCACCAGTTGTGACGCGCAGCTCGATCTAAGACTAGCGCCCCTGGAGGAGAATATCGACTGTGCAGCAGGTCCCGAATACCACCTGCACTCACTGGCATCCACACGGGGCTCGGGCTCGCCCTCGCTCGCTTGCCTCTCGCTTTGAGTCTAGGCTGCTGGCACGGCCTGGAGTGTCTAGGTTGCTAGCTGGGCTTGCAAGCTTGCACTGCACTGCACTGGGGGACCCGGGGGGGGGGGGGGCATCGGGCAGCGGCTGCACTACAGATGGCACTATTCCCCTTCATTACCCGGGCCCTCCACGGAAGACTGTAAGTAGTAGGTATGGATGGATACTGTGATGCACTCTCATCTCGACTATTGGGCTGCTTCGTCGACTGGAGCGACTTCCTCTCTCCCTTGCAAGCTGTGATCTCGCAAACCACCCCACCTGCTATCTGCGGGCGCTGCTGGTTCCTTCGATTCCCTCATTCACGCCTCCCCGTCTCACTCTCTCACTCTCTCCTCCTCTTGCTAGGTAGATAGGTACTGCTGTTGCTGCTGCTTTCTATTGATGCCGCTGCCATCAGTTGCATGCCCACGCTCCATCCTCGTCATTCCCAAACAGGCCACGACCCTGTTTGCTACATGCCTCCATTCAAAGACGGTGGCGTAAGGAAGATGGTTCTCCTGCAACGGCATGCATTACACAATTGAGGGGGGAGCATGGGAGGAAAGCCACACATTGACACACCCACGGCTAGGTCACTATGTACTTGGACGAGAAGCGCCCATCTCCTCTCACTCCAAGTCTCTCGCAGTCTCTCC